TGGTCCATACAGCCTCATTAATACAGAAGGCCAGTTATTCACTGAGCACAACCTTCTGGGGAACTGGGTTCTACTCTACTTTGGTTATACTTCATCTCCCGATGTTGGGCCAGCAGAGGTTCAAAAGATGGTCAAGTCTGTTGATATATTAGGTTTTTACTCGTCGATTTTTCTCTAAAATTATTGAACTGTTTTTTTAGTTTTTTGATTGAATTTTGTTTTTCCTATTTTGATTTGAACAAGAGTCAAAACAGAATCTCAAGATTTTGCCTATTTTTGTCACAATTGATCCTCATAGAGATACACCTGCACAGCTTCGTGCTTACCTCAGAGGTGAGTTCGTTATTCACATGGTTTCCTTGTACCCTTCCACAAATCTGAATAGATTATTTCACATGAAAGCCAGACACCCCATATTTGTAGAAAAATGGTAGCATTTATAACTTGACTTTCATTGTTTTTTATGTACGCTTTTACCAATAAATGGATAATTGTTATCTAAACATATAATGATATAATTTTGTAGAAACTCCTTTGCTATTGAGTTTTAAGGAAGATGACCATATAGTCGCCATTTTACAGTGCAATATAATTTCATCAATTATGCTGACTTCTTAAATATGATTAAATTTTTGGGCGAGGAGTCAGTTATTTGTTTCCTTAAGAAGGCAAGATATATTAATGTTCAATTATATAAATATTTCTTAGACTTAAATGAAAAAGATCTAAAGACTCTTAACTGCAGGCATTTGTGTATATCTTGTCTAGGGGTTTTCCTTCAGTTGAAGTTTATTATTTTTTTTCCCCTTTCTAATGCACTAGACATCAATTGATACTTGATAATACATGCTTCTAGGAGAAATTATTTTCCAACTTCAAGGGTTAGAAAAGGAGTTAAGAGAAATCTATCGTTTTCTTTTTTAAAAAAAAATATGATTGGAAGGCAACTTTTTCTTTGGTTCAACTGGAATTTAATACACCTCCAATAATCGGAGTATGGTCGCAGGTGCACTGGCTCGAGCTATTTATTTTCATATTCTTCTTTCTTATCTCCAGATGCTTTTTCTTCTGATTCATTCATATGGTTATTTACGATGTATATATATTTAGTGTGTGTTTGTCTCCCATTATTGTAGAAGAAATAGAGTAATGAATAGTATTTTTTGGAGAATGTGTGGTTGAAATTTAAAGTAACTTTATTGTAACAATGTTTTGGAATAATGAGAGACAAACGAGGCCTTAAATGCATGGCTACAAGCATCCTTTCCTAAATATGTATATGGGTTTCACCATTTGGTGTTTATTTATTCAGCTGTTGTACTCATGAAGTTGTATTTTCATTGGTGTCTATAATTAACATTTTTTACTCCACTTTTTTTTTACTTAAATTGAGTGTAGAGTTCGACTCAAGGATAGAGGGATTAACCGGACCAGTTGCTGCTATTAAACAGATGGCACAAGAGTACCGAGTATTCTTTAAAAAGGTTGACGAAGAAGGAGATGATTATCTTGTTGAGTCTTCTCAAAACATGTAAAGCACAAGCCTTTTATGTCACTATCCTCCCAGCTTTCTCAACTCTTTCCTTCATATTTTTCACCGAGACATCTTTGCAATTGTGAAAATATATTTTATGAGTATCATTATGAACAGGTACTTGATAAACCCGAACATGGAAGTAGTGAGGTGCTTTGGAGTTGAATACAGCGCGGAAGAACTGACGGAAGAAATACTCGGAGAGATGAAGAAAACTGGAACTTAATCATTCAACAGAATGTGGCCTAAAACTCAACAGGGTAGGTTTATCTTTTTCAAACGTCAATCTAACAATTTTTTGCCCTTCATACTGACAAAATTCTAGTTAGTGTTGAGTTTGATCCAATTTTAATCCATCACACATTTTGTTATTTTTGTATTGCCCTTTTCATTATTTGATACTGTACGTTTTGGTGCCTAATTACAAAATGATACTTGGTACCTGCAGCAGGCTAAGGCTCCACATGTTCACTGTTGAATTCTTTTTCTTTTCATATTTATTAAATTCATAAATAAACAAGATGTTAAAGTATATACATTTACTTTCTATAATTCAAGTAAAAAATTAGCTAAAAATAGTATACTTTAATGGAATATTATTCGCCCCACCGTCAAAATTTATCATTTAATAAATGGTAATCATGTTTTATAATAGAATGCTCTCTAGGGTTATTTTAGTCATGAATTCTATAGGAACTGGATGATGATCCTATTTGGTCAAATACTTACCGACAAAACTCCTATGTTCCTTTCATTACGGTATTTCTGAAGAAGTTCCTGTATAATAAGTTTAATGATGTTAATAACTACTATTAATCGTACTTATAGAACATGTGAATCTAGATTTCTATAGGTTGCTTTCAGCAAATTTATTCAGCCCCTGTTTGGTAGCTATTCTTAGCCATTTTCTAGACAAATTCTTATCGTTATACAGTGTGCCCCCCGTTAGTTTTTACTTAATTCAATGAAATTACCAATATGCTCCTTTAGAGTAAAAATCATTATTCTTCAAGTAATGGCAATTCGATAAAATGCACCTTATGCAGTAGTTGGGTCCCACTGACCATTTCAATTGGGCAAAAAACTTATTAAAATCTTGGCACAATGCCTACCAGTTTGTATATTATCATAAAATTCAAGGCTGTGTTTACTTTTGTCTCTAAAATTATATTATATTGTCATTTGAATGCAACGATTGTTACCAAATGAATAAAAAAATCCAATTTTTATAAGGTTGGTAGCAAACGAGGTTGCTGAAATTGCACTAACGAGTTGTATTGGATCTCTATTAGGATTGACAAATCCCAAATCGGCAATTCATCACCGACTCTCATAGTCTTGCCTCTCACATCTGTTCATCTCTCAATTTGACACAAAATAATAATAAATAAAAAAATATTGTGGACCCTTATAAGTAGTTGAAAGTTTATTTTTATTGGTTTTTTTGGTTAATTATAAATTTATACTTGATAATTTGTTTTTAGACCTTAATTATATTTTTTTATATTTAAATAATTATCATTATTTATAAGTATCTTACGATCCTCAATCCGATCATTTCTATGCCATATATTAAGGCACCGTTTGGTAACCATTATTCTAGAAAAAAATGTATTCTTTGTGTCAAATCACACCTTTTTTGTGGTTGAAAATGAAGGAAAAGGCATTGATGTGATGGAAAATATTATTTTATTGATGAATGTGTGGTTGAAAATTAGTAGAAGAATGAGAATGAAAAAAAGAATGGTTACCAAACGGTGCCTAAGTAAGCATTTTAGCACCGATACTTATGAGAACAAGAATACAGAACAAAATAAACTGTGAATTTCTTTTTAATTGTATACTATTCTAATTGAGTGAAATTTTATTAAAAAAAATAGATTTAGATTCAACGTTTCGAGCACGACAAATCTCTATTCGAACTCCCTTTGCTTGTAGGGGTGCGTCTTGGGGTTAAACTTCTTGAATTAAAAGAAAAAGAAAAGACAATTTCAATTTATTATAACGATAATATAAATCGTCTCGTAGAGTTTCTAGCCCAACAATGCTCTGGGCGTATTGACCACATCTTTTGGTATAACTGGTTATTCATTACCTAGAGACCAAATTGATTATTGGACCGTGCAAATTGTAATAGGTGTATTTGAAACTAAACCTATAATATAATCGTTTTCGGTAGAATTATTGTCCGAATTTTGTTTAATAAACCTTTGTTTGATCCTCATTATTTCATAATACATTTTTCTCTTTTATTTTCAACCACATAATTTTCATAAATAATATTATATGTAAACCCAAAATTTTTCCTACATTCTCCATCAACATACTATTTCAAAATGCATTTTGGGCAAAAAATAGACTAAAACATGTGCTAAATCTTGTTGGGGATAATTTTAATTGGTAATATAATACATTTTATTAATCCTTATTATAAGCAATTATTAGCTTTTTCTAGATTTTAGTTCCAGTCATGCTACCTGTACAATCTTGATTGACAATTCACACTTGACAATATTATATTCATCCATTTTAAAAATTATTTTTTAAATCAATGGTTCAGATATTAATAAAATCAATATTATCAACTACAATTGTCAACAATAATTGTTAATCCTTTTAGTTCACCCTAAACTTTGAGTGATTCAGGCTCCAACCCCGTACCAAATAGTTTGACTTGGTGTAAGTCAAACTTATACAAAAAAGATACATACTGGCTGGCGGGTGTTGGTCATACGTGGGATGCTCAAACTACATACCTAGCCTACGTGAACTCCTCAATGGAGAAATTTGCAAATCAACAGAGAAAAAAATAAAAATACAGAATCTCCATCCCGCCAAATAAGGAGTGCTTGTCTTTATTTTTCTAATTATTTAGAGATCCTTATTTCTTCAATGGCCGACTCTTTTGGAGTCCCAATCAAAACAATAATCTGCCAGCTCTCCCTTTTAAATTAAATTAATGGACTAGTTTTGGAGATTCAGATACCAAGAATTTAAAATAAAAATGAAAAAGTTTTAAATTATTGTGTTTTTTTTCTCTTTTCCGGCATCTCTCTCTCTCTCTCTCATGCCAAAATCTCTCATTTCCATTGCTTATAGAGAGAAAGCAAGAAAAGGGAGATTGTTTGGTTGTTGGCAACTGTCTTCTCCAGGAAGCAGTGAAAAATAATCAAAGTAACAATAATAATCAATTCATTTTAAACATATTCTCCTGGGATGTTGAATTCTTCCTTCCTGTACAAGCCATCTCTCTCTGAATATTCTCCTGTTTTATGTATTTCATTTTTCTTTTTCCAAAATATGGGTGGGTCCTCTCCTTTTCTGTAAATACATTTTTCTGTTCCTTGATCCCTTGGCCTACAAGTTTTCAACTTTACTGTTTTCCCTTAGAGAAGTCCCTTTGTATTCCCATTCATTACTCGCATTTCAATAGCCAATTTCTTGTCTCCTGGGAATTGTATTTGATATGGGAGAAATCTCGCCTGAGAAAAGATCAGGCTGTGGCCTGTTGAATGTAGTTTTTGGACGTCGAAGTATATGGCCTAGAAGATCAACATCCACAGGTTCTCTTCATACTTATACTCCAAAAAACAATGTCACCTTAGTACAAAGCATGCCAGCTTCAAGCAGACAAAGTGGGGGCTTTGAAGGAACTACCATCCTGGATTCATCAGATGCCCCTTTGCATAAACAGGTTGATAGAGTCATTGCACGTCCGGGCCAAAACCACGCGAGATCTCCTCCCGTGTATCAGCAACACCACCCCCCTCCCGTGGTAGCTGCAAGAAACTCGCCTAGCCAACAAGGCCATGGCCAAGTGTGTAAAGTGCCTCATAATGGACTTGTCATATCTGGAGAGCTGGAGAGCATGATCATCGATCATCAGCAATCAAAAGGTGCAGGTAAGTTAGTTCGTGCATCGTCCAGTAATGTGATGTTGTTTGGCAATTTGGGTAATTTGAGGCAACACGGTAGCAATGGGAATTCTACTGCAAACAATGTTCTTGATTATCTTCCAAAAACTGCTAAAGAAGAGCAATCGCCCTCTAATGGAAAATACAGTACTAGTGTTATAGGGAATGTAGTAAAAAAAAGTGAAAAGCCTTCTCTTTGTCGTGCTATTTCCACCAGGATGGATCCTGAGCAATTGAAAATTTTGGGTAATGAAGATTACAAGAATGGCAGGTTTGCCGAAGCTTTGGCTTTGTATGATGCAGCGATTTCTATTGATCCGAATAAGGCTTCTTATAGGAGCAACAAAAGCGCCGCACTAACTGCTTTAGGCAGACTTCTTGAAGCAGCCTTTGAATGCAGGGAAGCAATTAGAATCGATCCTTATTATCAACGAGCTCATAATAGATTGGCAACTCTATACGTCCGGTAAAATTGTGTAAATTTTTTCTTGGAAAAGCAATTGGTTCATAGCTTACAAATTTGACATTGTTGCTTTATACAATTCTTTGGCAGATTAGGTGAAGCAGAGAAGGCTGCATATCATTTCAAACAAGCTGGAGCAGAAGCTGATCCTGATTCAATGATAAAGGCTAAAAAAGTTCAAGTTCATCTGCACAAGTGCACCGAGTTAAAGAGGCAGCGCGATTGGAATACCCTCCTAAAAGAAGCCACCCTTGCTATAGCAGCCGGTGCGGATTCTGCACCACTGGTTAGTCTTTTATTACCAGAACTTAATGCGATTTACATATGCAGCTCAACCTTTATAGAAATTAAAACTGAATAGTAATTGATAATTGGTTTTTGTTGTTGTAATCAATGAAGATATTTTCCTTAAAAGCCGAGGCCTTAATAAAACTCCACAAGCACCAAGAAGCTGATGAAACTATGGCAAAAGGTCCAAACTTTGACATCGATGAATGTATTAAATTCTTCGGTCCAATTGGTAGTACAAGCCTGTTACTTGTTCATGCTCAAGTTAACATGATTGCTGGCAGGTTAGTGTCTTATCTTTTGTGTACTAGAGATTCCATTTCAATGAAGAGCAGTTAGCAAGTGATTGTAGTCTTATATACCGATTATGTGTAATTGACAGGTTTGATGATGCTGTGGCCGCTGCTGAACGAGCATCTAGGTTGGACGCGAACAACAAGGAAGTAAACAAGATATTGAGGAGGACAAAGGCTGTTGCATTAGCTAGATCAAAAGGCAATGATTTGTTCAAGGCAGCAAGATATTCCGAGGCATTTGCTGCATATGGTGAAGGGCTCAATCATGATCCGTACAATGCAGTCTTGTTATGTAACCGAGCAGCCTGCAGGTCCAAACTCGGCCAATTTGAAAAAGCAATAGAGGATTGCAGCGCTGCACTAGGCGTGCGCCCTTTTTATAGCAAGGCTAGATTAAGAAGAGGCCATTGTTACGCTAAGGTAGTTATAAAACAGTATATGCCATCTGATACACTTCAATAAGTCGTGTTAGCATGTGTAATACATGCACGCACGAGACTATAGTTTTTGAATGTTATGGTGTTTTTATTGTAGCTGGGAAAATGGGAAGCTTGCATACAAGACTGTGAGATGCTGTTAACAGAAAATCCAAACGATGAGGAGGTAGGGAAACTCTTGAAGGAGGCTCGAGCATGGAGACAGCAAGGAAGCCAAAACATGAAGAATGGTGGTGTTCATTCTAATGAAGTCGTGCTGGTATCGAGCAACGAATGTTTCCGAGACTATGTTACATCTCCTGGTAATAGTTGCGCCAAATGATAAAAAATAACGCTATTATTTGGTGATGTAATTGTATACCTTTTTACAAAATTATTGGCTGATTGAAAGATGATTTTTTTTGGACTTGATTTATCTAGGTTTATCCGTGGTTTTGTTCTTTCGCAAGCTTGGTGACAGCATAATTATGCAGTTCATTGAACACCTCCACAAGAGATATCCATCAGTCAACTTCCTTAAGGTACATCATTAATATCTATATTAAATGACAAACTTCTAGAATCAACCTCTTAAATCACGGGTTTTGTGTATCGTTTTATGTGATATATATGTGGCTGTTAGTAATTTAATACATAAATGTGGTAGTTTTTTATTTCCTTATGCATCAAATCATTAACCATCACAGTAGAACGATTATGATAATGAGCGATTGCAAATAGCATTATTCTTTGTGTTTACTCAAAATCTGTACAATGAATAAGATTTTAGTTTTTCCATTAATTCGACTTTGTCTCATAACACACAACAAACTCCAGGTGGAGGTTGAAGACAATCCTTCCATAGCCAAATCTGAAGGCATAAACTCGTTGCCAGCTTTCATTATTTACAAGAATGGTGCGAGGGCCAGAGAAGTCCCAGGGAACAGCCATGATTTGTTAGAGAGCTCGATCAAATTTTATGTCAGTTCATGATACAAAAGGAAAGGTTAGTGATGTGAGTGAAGTTGTAAAAAATAGCTGTGAAATGTGCAAGTTCCTGCCACAGCGCCGGCCGGATCTTCGAGGAAGTGATTGCATAAACTTCTGATAGATGGAAAAGGAAATGTAGGCTTTGCTAGGGTGCATAAAGTAAAATTCATTGAATTTAGTTTGATGTGCTTTCAATTCATTGATTGGAATTTAGCTGGAAAAGATTGAATTGACGAAAGCATAATTGATTGGGTGAAACAGTAGTCAACAATGATTGGGATTGTAAAATTTTTGTAATTAGTTCAGTTTGATGTGCTCGAAAAAATTCAATGAATTTAATCAATTGTTACTTGTGTCTATATTCAGATTCGAAGCACCGTGAAACCAGTCAAATCACGGGGAGGGAAGCAAACTCTCTATCAAACAAAAATTAGCTTTCTCTCTGCAGAATAGTAGATAGCTAAAAATGAAGTATGATGATTGTATTATTATTTTATTAACTGTTGATATATAAATTGAGATTAACAAAATTTTCTCACTTAACCAATATTTTTCTTTCCTAAACTCATTAATTTTTTTTATTGAAATGAGAGCTGGATAGATATGACTATTTGAAAGGAGAATTATGCAATTTTTCATATTCTTCTTTCCTTCCTACTATGCGTATTTATAAATTTCAAATGAGGTCACGAGGATAATTGAGTCTTTCTATTTAATGTTACGTGATAGTTGTTGATTGATGAACTTTAACGGAAGGGCAGCTATATTGTCACCACATTTTTTATTTAATACACTACATTTTAATTGCAACTAACTTCTCATTCTTTACTCATTGTAGCAATTATTTTCTTATTTTTTCCGTCAAATTCTTATCTTCAACCTTCAATTAATTAGTACGTCACGTCCTTGATGATGATTTATATTAAAATACTTTGTTTTCATACTTAAATGAGGGAAAAATATTTTTTCACACTTTTTATTTATTTGTTTTTTAAAAATATGATTTAAAAAAAAGTTGTTTTACGTCATTTCAATGGACTTTTGGATATAAAATCGTTATCAAATACAAAATATACTTACTAATGAAAAGTTTGAAGACAAGAGTAATATGAAAAATCGCTAGGGATATAAGTACTGTAATGAGTAAAGATTAAGAATATCAAATTCAATTAAAATGTGGTGCAAGAAATTAGTATTGCAGTGTAAATATAATTATCCTTGACTAAAATTGTTATCTTTTCACATTTTATTCGCCATGCCATGCGTTCCTTACTCATCGACTGTGAGGTCATGTTTAACATTTTTATTTATGTGTGTTCCAATAATGATTTTTGCTGCTGTGGAATAGCCTGTGAAAATATATAGGAATATTTTTGTTTGTTTAGTAATTTTCCACTCGCATGTCTCTTGTGCTCATCTTCTTATTCAAGGTTGAAGTTATGGCTTCGTACTATAAATACTCGTTGACAGCAGTCTGGATTCGTACATGATTTGGACTTCGTAGAATTGCTCGCTAACATTGGTGAAGGTTCGCATAGGACGAACCTAAAATAATATACAAATGTAGGTCAAAATAATTGATAACATAGACAAGTTAAATAATTAACCATTCTTCATTGGACTCCTAACTCTTTAAAGAAGATCTTACTTGCATGCCATTCCTATGTTCTTTGTAACATTCCTCATCTTCTACGATTACCATTGGCATTATTCGAAATGTTGTCTTCCAATCTACTAGCATGTCTGCATCCTTCTTTGTTTTGGCCACATTTTTTTAATCTGAAACACGTAACTATTTTATTTAACTCGAGATATATATATACATATACAATTTCTCGTTCTCTATATATTTCTTTTTGCTAATCTATAATTCTACTCATGCTCATTATGAACGTTCAAGTTTTTTCTCCCCCAATTTGTTTAACTAATTATCACATTAGTTATTTCATGCTAAACAATCATTGGTGGATTAATTTAATTGGTAAAGTGTATTACAGCTCGAGTATGGTGGTCCAAAAAGATTTAACTTTTGTAAAATGAACAGAATAATTTGTTTCAATTTGTGTAATTATTAGCCGTACAATTTGATTCATGAAATTTAAACTTTGTTGCTGGATTTTTTATTCACCAAAACCCATGATTAAAGAAAATAAAAAGAATTCTCTTTTGGGTTAAAATTGATTGATAATAATTAATCGTCTTTACTTTTGCATCATTGTGGCATAAAAAAAAATACATATTTCTGATTCTGTTAACTATGCTTTTAATTAATATAATGGCACACGTGATTATTTAATTAACAGAAACAATTCTATCTTATTTGGCAAGTGAATTGTACTATATATTAAACAATATTAGAAAACGAACGTTTGTCGAGTGATCGTGGACGGTCGAATCATCATTTTTAACAGAAACGATATAATTAACGTTTTATATAAACTAAAACGATATGTATGTCGTTTTAGTTATGATTTAAATTGAAACGATATCAATGTCGTCAAAATTGTACTGAAACGATGTGGAGATCGTTATGTATCAAATCCACAAAATAACATAATGACGTCCATATCGTTTTAGTACAAATTTGGAGAGTTTGAAACCGTTCCAGTTCAAATAATAACTAGAATGATATAGATATCGTTTCTTTTCATACAAAACAATTATTATATCGTTTCGGCTAAAAATAATGATTCGATTGTCCACAACCACCCACCATGCCTTCAACATACGTAGGACGATAAAAAAAAAGTCACCAAGTGGGTTGTGTCACTCAAATGACTTACAAAGAATGAACGAAAATACTTTCTTTCTATCGGAATAGTTTGAATGTTGTATATAGTTATGGGAACACAAATATTCTCATAGGTTCTTTTGAGTGAGATCGAATCCACTTGATTACCTATTTCAATTGTCCAACATATGTCGGATTCTTGTCGAGTGATCGTGGACGATCGAATCATCATTTTTAACAGAAACGATATAATTATCGTTTTATATAAACTAAAACGATATATATGTCGTTTCAGTTATGATTTAAACTGAAACGATATCAATGTCGCCAAAATTGTACTGAAACGATGTGGAGATCGTTATGTATCAAATCCATGAAATAACATAATGGCGTACATATCGTTTCAGTATAAATTTGACGAATTTGAAACCGTTCCAGTTCAAATAATAACACAACGACATAGATATCGTTTCTTTTCATGCAAAACAATAATTATATGGTTTTGGCTAAAAATAATGATTCGATCGTCCACAACCACCCAGCGTACCTTCAACAAACGTAGGACGATCGAAAAAAGGTTATCAAGTGGGTTGATGTCACTCGAATGACTTAGAAATAATGAATGAAAATACTTTCTTTTTATCGGAATAGTTCGAATGTTATATATAGTCATGAGAATACAAATATTCTTATAGTTTCTTTTGAGTGAGATCGAACCCGCTTGATGACCTATTTCGATCGTTCTACATATATCGGATGCTTGTCGAATGATCGTGGATGGTCGAATCATCATTTTTAACATAAACGATATAATTATCATTTTATATAAACTAAAACGATATATATGTCGTTTTAGTTATGATTTAAACTGAAACGATATCAATGTCGTCAAAATTGTATTGAAACGATATGGACGTCGTTATCTATCAAACCCACAAAATAACATAAAGACGTCATATCGTTTCAGTACAATTTTGACGACATTGATATCGTTTCAATTCAAATAATAACTACAACGACATAGATATCGTTTCATTTTATATAAAACGATAATTATATAATTATGGCTAAAAATAACGATTCGACCGTCCACAACCACCCGACATGCATTTAACATACGTAAGACGATCGAAATAGGTCATGAAGTGGGATGATGCCACTACAACGACATCAAAGTCGTTTCATTTGAGAAGAAACGACATATATGTCGTTCTATTACGATATTGACTGAAACGAGTTCCAACTCAACAAATTTATACTGGAACGATATGGACGTCGTTACTTTGTTACGGGAACGATTTCATCGTTTTTGATTACAGGAACGATGTCCATATCGTTACGAAAATCAGCGTGTATTTCATACTGAAACGATATTCAAGTCGTTTTTTTGTTATAGGAACGATTTCAATATCGTTACGAAGATTAGTGAAGCAGTGTGTATTTCATACGAAAATGATATTGAAATTGTTTTTTATTACAGGAACGATGTCCGTATCGTTACGAAAATCAGCGTGTATTTCATATTTTAACGATATCCAAGTCGTTCTTTTGTTATGGGAACAATTTCAATATTGTTACGAAGATCAGTGAAACAGTGTGTATTTCATATAGAAACGATATTGAAGTCGTTTTTTATTACAGGAACAATGTCCATATCGTTACGAAAATCAGAGTGTATTGCCAACTAAACGATATCCAAGTCCTGTCTAGATCAAATTTCCTACACGTACATGTCTTTTCATCTAAATCCACAAAGTGGTATTCTAAATTATCACCAACCTGATAAATGTCTGGAGATATTTCGTGCACATCTTTTTCTCTAAAGGTGGCGTGAAGTGGGTCACACATTTGAGAGATGTGTTAATTTCAATTATATTCAATATCCAAAATCATTACAACTATCAAAATGTACTAACTAATGGTTATGCAACATCCTAACAATTTCAACATTTATAGGAATAACAATTGCTCTAGCAAAAAGAACATGGTTGAGCCACAAAATGTTTTCAAAATATCTATACATATATCAAAACACAATCTAAGGATCGAAGTTCCAAACTTAGGTTTCAATATCAGCTGCTTGGCCCGTGCAAGTGGATCGGACATGACCAGTTTTCTTGCACATACTGCACTTACGAAGCGTACGCGTCTCTCCAGCTGATCTTTTCCTCTTTTTGGCTGGTTTTGACTAATTATATTTCATGCGCATCTTTTTCTCTAAAGCTGGAGTGAGGTGGGTCACACATTTTCAACTTCAACATGTCTTTCATAA